ATAAATTCTTTTATGCTTGGAAGCATTCCTTGTAAGGAGGAAGGAGATATATTACCATCTTGTCTAGATTACATAGAAGCACATGGTACCGCTACTAGGGCGATCCTGAAGAAATCAATGCTATCTATACTGTTTTATGTAAGGATAGAAAAGCTCCGTTGATGATCGGCTCTGTAAAATCCAATTTTGGTCACGCTGAACCTGCCAGTGGTTTCACTCAGATCGGTAAGGTAGACTGAAAATAATTTATCCAATGATATTTTCATGTTTTTATAAAAGAAAATAATATACAGTAAATTCCGCGTACATGATAAATGATTTTATCTCTTATATAATAAAAAGATCTTTTTATTATTCCTGCATTGCGAGCGAGCAAAAGAATTTCGAAATTTAATGTTTATCTATTTGTGACGATTGATTTTTATACACATAAATTAAAATTTTCACTTATACACATAAATTAAAATGTTTTTAAAATATTAATCCTTTCACAAATTAATGAGAGGTTTGCAATTAAAATGACATTATTCGGATAATTTAAAAAAAAAACACATAACAAAATACGTATTTTTATCTAATTAATTTCAATAATTTTTTAAGGTAATAATAGCATTCGAAACCGGTTTTCCACCACACATCAATATACATCACCACGAGATGATATAGATGCTTTTGTAAATGGAGTCATACAGTGGTTACAGAAGCAATACCACTTCAGAATGGGTTACATCGGCATTAATTCTTTTGGATTTGGGGGATCCAATGCTCATATGCTATTAGAATGGAATACCAACAGAAAAGTTAACAACGCAACACCGGACAATGGTTTGTCAAGACTTGTATTGATATTGTCTGGACGCACTGAAGAATCAGTAAATTCGTTTCTAAATGATGTTAGTTTTTATTTCAAAAGCAACATTATTTACAATAATTAGAAAATATATTATTCAACAAAATTAAAAGATGATTTAAAATCATAAAAAGGGAGTGCAAATTTAAACTCACGTATCTTTGACAAAAATAGTTATAGAACAATATTTAAGAGAGCATTTTAAGGCTGAAAATTTCAACTTTTCAATGATTCAACACACATTTCTCAACAAAAGATTTCACTACAGGCAACATTTCTTTAAAGTAAGCTTGCAAAATTGAAAATTTTAACCATAATGACGTGTGAGGAAAATATTATTCTCCAAACAATTTTAATTGCATCATAAAATTTAACATTTTCTTTAAAAATGCATTTTTTAATCATAATACTATGATTTTTTTACTAAATTATAATGAAGTGAATAGTGCATATTCAAGTTCTGTTTTTAAAAATCAGTATTCTAGTATTGATAATATTCAAAGCATATATCATGGAAAGATTACTTGATCGGAATTATGTACACCTCATATGTACGTCTTAAAATCGTATATTATCAGCTTTATGACGAACGACTTCTGAACAACATTTCCTCATATTAATAAATATTTAAATTAACGGTAAATCTTTACTTTAACTTACTCACCACCATATACAGAATGTCCCAAAAATCCCGAACCGGTCGAATATTTCATAAATTATGCATTTTAGAGAGAAATGTTTCAGACAAAAGTTGTATGGCTTGAAGGGGGCCATCAGATAGTGGCAATGATTTGACCTTGAGGAGTCATTTGAAGGTGACGTAAAAGTCATCTTCAATTTCTTAAATGGAACTCCCTATTTTTTATTACATATTCGTGTAGCTTATCTCAAGAGCTTTTCAAAACACTATAATTAAGTTAATTTTTTAAGACCTTCATGTGACCTTCAAATAACTTTTCAAGGTCAAAACAATGGCACCTTATGTCCCCCTCGAAACTATACAACTTTTGTCTGAAACATTTTTGTTTGCTGGGCTTAATTTTTTAGATATTTTACTGTCTAAGTTAAAATGGGACACCCTGTATATCCCTGAAGTGGGGTCCCATACGTGATACGTTATATGTGGGACCCACTTCAGGAATAGATAGGGAGCACACTGACATTGAAAAAAGTTCATATTAACGTATGTCCTATTTGACCTTGTTACAATGTTACAGGATTACGAAAGTAACGTTTAATATTTAAATAACCGGCAAATCAGGATATTTCGCAATATGTAATATCTTTCAGATGTAGGCAAACTTGTTGGATATCCTGACCTTAGGGATTTTTATCTATGGGGCCACTTGAAGGCAATTGTATTCTGCACCTATTGCCAGTGTTGAAGTTCTACGTGCATGTATACAAGAAGCTTGCCAACAGATCAGATATACATCTGGAATATTTGAAAGAGTGCGACAGTCTTTGATACAGCGAATGCTTGCATTTAGAGCAGAGATAGCCATTTAGAGCACCTTATATGAATGTAATCGGTTGCCGGTTATTTAAATATTAAACGTCCTGTAACTTTGTAACAAGGTCAAATAGCATACATGTTAATATGAACTTTTTTCATTGTTGGTGCCCCCTATTCATCCCTGAAGTGGGTCCCACATGTTAGGATACACTCTATCCTATATATACAGGGTGTCTGATAATTTTTTGCAGTCCCAAAATGTGAAGGTAGATTGGCTCAAATTAAGAATGAAAGTCCTCTACTGTTTTGCGAATGATGATTGCGGCCCGGACTTATCACTCCTTCCCCACTCACTTCGCTGCGCACCTAATATATGGTTACAGTGGGACGACTCTCATCGCTATGCGCTTCTACTCACGCAGATTGGCCGATCTTTTTAATTAATGAAAAACAGTAGAGGACAATGATGCCAATTTCGAGATGCTGCCCCCCAGCACTACATGTACAGGAAATAGCGCACACAAAGAAAGAACCGTCTCCGTACACGACGGCCAGCGCTCGGCTAGCTTCGGTAATAGAAGAGAGCAGATACGGACACGGGTCTTTCTTTGTGTGCGCTATTTCCTGTACATGTAGTGGTGGTGGCAGCGTCTTGAAACTGGCATTACTGGTAGAGGACCTTCCTTAATTTGAGCCAATCTACCTTCACACTTCGGGACTGTAAAAAAGTTATTAGACACCCTGTATAAATCAAACAAGTAAGAAAAAGGCTATAAGGACCATTAAAAAACCATTTTAATAGAGCGAAATTCTCAAATGTATAATATCATTTAATATAAATACGCATAATTAAATTGTACATCCAAACGTTTCAGTCTATTTTAGATCCTTTTCAGAACAATATATTAAAGACAATATTGTGTGTGATATCGTATGTATAAATAAAAACTTTGAAATGATTGTCTGTTAAGGATAAAATAATAATAAAATTACAAAATCAAATCGAAATAGATTTTGTGACATGCCTGCATCTTGAGTAATGCCATTAACAGCTGCAATACAGATTTTTAAATAAGAAACATGCATTATTCAATTCAAATAATCATTTAATGAAAAAAAAAATCATAGCGTTATGATTAAAAACGCATTTTAAAGAGAAAATGTTACATTTTACGATGCAATTAAAATTGTTTGGAATAAAAATTTTTTCTCCTCGTACACGCCATCATAGCATTTTTCAATTTTGTAAAGTTGTTTTAAAAAAGGCATTGCTTCTAGTGAAATTTTTAGTGAAAATAATTATTGCGCGCGTTGAATTATTAAGAAATTGAGGCTATCAGCTTTTTTAATATCGCTCTACGAATATTTTTTCATAAAGATATGTGAATTTGAATGTGATCTTTTCTTCATGCGTTGATTTTAAATAATCTTTTAATTTTGTTGAGAGTGTATGTCTAGTATATAAGATTTTAAAAAATTGTTTGTCTTGTAGGTTGCTAACCATTCGACAGATGTCGAATATATTCGTTTATTACACGATATATATGCATATAATATAGAGGATCATCCATGGAGAGGATATATTATATTGGACAATTTGCAACAAAATTCAATAAAGGAAATCCAAAATAATGGGAATGTAAAAAGATCTATTTGGTTTATATTCTCTGCCTTGGGCGCGCAGTGGCCAAAAATGGGTACATATATAAAATATTCTATATTTAATATATAATAGCACACTTAAATCATGAAATGATATAACATCTAAATTATAACTTTATCAGGTCAAGATTTATTAAAATTGGATGCCTTTGCAAATGCTATAAAAATATGTGACGCTACTTTAAAATCATATGATATAAATATTATGGATATTTTGTTAAAGCAAGACGGAAAAGAATGCCAAAGCAGTTTACACATATTTATAGGCATCGTTGCCATTCAGGTAAAATATTATAAATGTATAAATTTATATGAAAATTGTATACATAAAGTGAGTCATTAGAAACTGCCTTCAAAGATATTTGAATATTATATTTTATATTTTATATTATTATATTTATATTATATTTTAATATAATTTTATAACTTTGTAGATTGGATTGGTAGATCTTCTAACATCTTTAGAAATTAATGCAGATTATATGATTAGTCATTCGGCTGGTAAACTTGGTTGTGCATATGCAGATAAATGTTTAACTATTGAACAAACTATTTTATCGGCATATTTTATTGGTTTGGCCTGTATCGAAGAAAATGTGATTCACAGCTCTATGGCAGTTGTGAATCTTAATTATGAATCTCTCAAAAATATATGTCCAGCAAATATTGAAATAGTATGTTACAATAGCCGAAACAGTAATATTATAACTGGACCCATAAGATCCATAAAAGAATTTATTAAAAAATTACAGGTATTATTTATGAATTCAATTTTTAATTAAATTAATTTTTTATTTGTTTTTTTATAAAAATATACAACTTTAAGAGTTTATTTTAATTTGTTTTATATTTGTTTATATTAATTAATTTCATTTTGTCAGATTAATAATATTAACGTGAAAGAAATCTCTTGCGATATACCATATCACAGTCATTATCTCGCACCCGTGGAAACTCAACTTTTATTTAATTTGAACAAAGTAATACCACAACCGAAAAAGCGAAGTTCAAGATGGATCAGTATTTCTGTACCTTGCATCGAATGGTCCAATACGACAACGAAATTATCTTCAGCAAACTATCATACGCGTAGTATATTAAATACTGTTCTGTTTAAACAAGCAACGAAGTTAATCCCAATTAACGCCGTGACTATTGAAATTGCACCGGATGGTATTCTGCAACATATTTTGAAAGAATCTTTACATCCAGAAGTGACGAATATCGTATTGACTCAGCGCACTGAAAATGTCACCAATGTAACTATGCGAGGAATTGGAAAACTTTACAATTGTAGCTTACAGCCGCAGATCGTTAACTTATATCCACCAGTGAAATTTCCAGTTAGTCGAGGAATTCCTATGATCTCTCCATCTATCAGGTATATGCATACAATGTTAAGAAAGATTTTTCTCTCTCTCTTCCCAAGCCTCCCCTCCTTCCCTTGTTCGATCGCTCTCTCGATCATCCCTTGTTCGATCGCTCCCTCGATCTCCCTTCTCTCGCTCCCTCCCTCTCTCCTTCTTTCGCTCTCTTGCTGCCTTCCTCCCTCTCTCTCTTCTTTTTTGGACACTCTGTAACAAATAAGATTTTGATGTTATAAAAAATTATATACATATTATATACAAATTATATACATTAAAATATATACATTAAAAATTATATACATTAAAATATATACATTAAAAATTATATACATATTATATACAAATTATATACATTAAAATACATTAAAAACATACCCACAAATACATTAAAAAACATTAAAATCAAATATTGGAAACATTATTCTTTATAGATGGGATCATTCTGAAGATTGGTTTGTGGCAACTTATCAATCGCAGAGGTATATACAATCCAATGAAAGACACATCGAAATCAATCTAAGCAATGAGAGCTACGATTATATGATTATCATATCATGTAATCGATGGAAGAAATTTACTACCAGCGACAGGATATCTTGCGCTTGTTTGGGAAACTATCAACATGATAGAAGGAAAAACATATACAACTATGCCGATAATATTTCGAGATATAAGCTTTATTCGTGCTACTCATTTATCGAATAACATTGTAAAATTGACAATTACAATACAAAAAGGTATTTACATCATTCTTACATTATTCTTGAATAGTAACGTTAAAATCATATGATTTCATAATTATGTGTAATATCAAAAATATAAAATATTACAGAAAGCGGAAAATTTGAAATTATTGAAGGAGATAGCGTTGTAGTAACAGGTATAGTACATACTATATCGAATCCAGAACAAGAAATGATTCCAAACAACCTATTGCCGGAGAATGATAATGAGGAAGAACATATGACTGCTCGAGACATTTACAAAGAATTAAAATTACGTGGTTATCAGTATAATGGCTGGTTCCGTGGATTAAAAAGCGCATCTCTTTCATGCAACAAAGGACATATTGCTTGGACAAATAATTGGGTAACATTTATGGTTGCTATGCTACAACTGCATATTCTTGGATACGATACTACCCAGTGAGGAATGAATTATCAAAAAGTTATCGATTTGATGTCAAATTGACTAAATCAATCTGCAATCGATTTTTACATCAATTCGATCAACTGGTGGGCACAATTTCGATCTTTTATTGATATCCATATTTCGTTAATAATGATGTATTTTTGATTATTTTACTAGATTTTTAATATAAATTTTATTATATAGGATGACCCAGAACTCGCACATCAGCCGTTTTTGAAATCATTTTAAGAAAAAATTTGAATGCCAAAATACATAAAAAAAAATATATATTATATATTATATATAAAATATATTATAATATATATATATTATATATAAAATATATATTATATATATATATTATAATTTTTAAATAAAAAACATTTAAAGCTGGTCTAAGCGCGTGAACTTAGGCAATCTCATTAACCAACTGTAAATGCTTTTTATATAAAAATTATTATATATCCTTAAGAATTGAGCATTAGAATTTTCGGCTTAAAATGATCTTTAGAAAATGTATGATGTGCAAGTTTTGAATGCAAATACTCTGTATATTTTTATAAATTAAAATCTAAGCAAGAAAAAGTTAAAATAAATGTTTGCAAATGTTTCCAACAAAAAATTAAAGATTAATAAATATTATAAAAACATTTTATATATAAAAACATTTTAACAATTTTTAAAATCATTTATTAAGAAATTAACTGTAGAAAATTTTATTAGAAACAGCGAGAACATTTTATGATTACAAAGAAATCCAATCTAGTTAGAAATAAAACTAGCTAAAATCTAAAATTAGATGTTGTATATAAGATGTTTGCCTCAAAAATAATCTTGATAAATATTTCGTTAACTTATACTTATAATTACTTATACTTACAATATGTACTTATATGTATACTTATATAAAAGAATTTTAACAAATTATAAAGTAACTTATTAATCAAAATGTCATTGTAGAAAATTTAATTTAGACATAATTACAAAGAAAAATCTAATCTAGTTAAAAAGAAAATTAAAATTTAAAATCAGATGTAAGATGTTTGTCTCAAAAATAATCTTCAAATATTTTATTAACTTACTTATAATTACTTACAATATGTACCTATATGTAATATAAGTACATATATGTTACTTATGTGTAACATATATAAGAAAATTTCTCTCATTAATGTATAATAAGTGCATAAATACTAACAATTATAAGTTATGCACTCATATTTAAAACTATATTTAAAATATTTCTCTTAAATAAAATTGCATTTAAATCACAGCAGCATTATATGACTTAGGACAGGCTTGTGGCCTAGTTTCGTAGCAAGAAATAAAAAGAATTAAACAATAAGCAAAAATCAGCCAAAAAATGCAAAGTAGTTACAAGTGTAACTTGAAAAAAGAATCCGTTTTTTATGGTTAAACTGGCTGTATATCTTTTTTTTTCCAATGTAAACTCTAACAATTACTACTAATATAATTACTCAAAATGTTACTATTAATTCAAAATATTACTAATTATTTAGAATAAAATATTATTATTATAACAGAACAGACATTTTTGTACTATAGTAACAAAATAAACAAAAAAAACTTTAAACTTTTTGTCGCCAGTAATGATCAGCAATTTATATAAAACTGTATTTCAAAATTACTGCCAGCCAGCGCAGTGTCAGTTATAATTCACGTTACTTTACGTAAACTCAAGTCCCTGGCACTATAGCTATTCTTCCAATACAAAAAAATTCTCTGAAATGTCATCATTAATATACGTCACTATGCAATGCTGATAGTCAAGTTGATCTATATATAACGGTGTGGCTAGTGTCACTAATTTGAAATTATTTAATAATTGCTTTCATTTATAAAGAAATTTTTTGCAAATTTAATAAATTTATTGTTTACAGTCGTTTATATTCTTTTTCAGTTTCACAATGCTTACGTGCGTTGTACTTATAGTTGTCCAAAAAATAAACCGAGCAGTTGACTAGCAGCGGACATTTAGAGAGAATTTTACGGCTATGCCAAGGACCTACGTATAAAATACATTTGCAGCGTTGATAACAATTTTGCGTTGAGCACAGCCTAAGAAAATTCTCTATAGTTGACCTAAAACCGGACTTTTGATTGCCTTTTCTTCATCGTTAGGCATTGATTGTAGATATCAGTTCTCTTCTACACACTGCCATCATGTTATTTACGCCATGGTGCATTTGCAAGCCAAGTACTAGCAACTTTGTCACATACTGTTAAATCTTTTGCTTCAAAGCGTGTCATTAGAGCACCTAAACATTCAAACAAAAAGTATATAAAATAAAAATATAAATAAGTATGACAAAATAAATTACGTGTGCAGTATAGTTCTTAATACAAAATAAATCAAAAATAAAAATGACGTGTATTACCTAAGAAACAAAATGGAATATTAACAACAATAAATTCTTACCTTGTACTAGTTCCCATATCTTAAGATCTTTAAATCTTTGTTTTCCTCGTGTACCATGGAAATTATAATTGTTAGCTACAGAGTTACTTAAAATTTTCGATAGCAATTTTCTGACAGAATTTTCTATGCTTTTTGGGTCAATAAATTTTGCAAAATAAAAGGTCTGGAAATAGAAAATTATTTGTCAAATAAAATAATTATAACTTAAACGTGCACAATAATGTAAACCAGGCCTGTACAACTGAAAAAACATCAATAATGCTGTTTGCATAGGCAACACGCGATACTAAGAGCATTGGTGGACACAATTTTCTTCTTTAATAATTTTCTTTTTAAATAAATTGTATGGTATAAATTGATATAAATTCCGTCTGTAACTTATCTTCTCTTTTGTCATGTTACACTCTTCTCTTCTATAAATTATTTTTATCTAAAAATTATCTTTTTTATCTTAAAATTTAATAGCCACGGCCACAAGTATTATTTTTGACTGCCCGCAATTACCCGAGCAACCAGTTGTGCAGTTGGCTTCAAAAAAATATTAATTATATATTATTGATCTAAACTTACCGCTGCTGATAAATTGTTATCATCTTTAAGAAATTCTTCCATTTGATTCAATTCATGCTCAGTTTCAACTGGAAAAGATGGAAGACCACTAGGGCGTTTAACAACTTTTTCTCCAGGGAGTAAATAACGGTGTAGTTTTTCTTGATTCATAATAAAAATATCCATTTTGCTGTTAATTTGTTTTGTAATTTTCATATTTTCATCTAATTTATAAATACAATTAGCAAGCATAGTTTGTAGTGATGAATCTTCTGAAATTAATCATAGAAAAAAATGTTATTTTAGAGATATATTATTTAATATTTAAAAAATATATCCAACAGTTATTTTAGTAATATATATTTTTCCATATTAAACATTTTGCTTACTTTCGTTTCCTTTACGTGTTACTGGCTGTAATAAACTAGGACTTAAATGATGAGCGGTATAACTTTCTGTCCCTGAACTTTTTAATGGAGAGGAATTATTATTCTTCCCTGGAGTTTTAAATAAATGACAGTAAGATCCAACAGTTATCTTACAATTAGTAATATATATTTTTTTATATTAAACATGCATTTTGCTTACTTTCATTTCCTTTACGTGTTACTGGCTGTAATAAACTAGGACTTAAATGATGAGCGGTATAACTTTCTGTCCCTGAACTTTTTAATGGAGAGGAATTATTATTCTTCCCTGGAGTTTTAAATAAATGACAGTAAGATCCAACAGTTATCTTACAATTAGTAATATATATTTTTTTATATTAAACATGCATTTTGCTTACTTTCATTTCCTTTACGTGTTACTGGCTGTAATAAACTAGGACTTAAGTGATAAGCGGTATAACTTTCTGTCTCTGAACTTTTTAATGGAGAGGAATTATTATTTTTCTCTGGAGTTTTAAATAAATGACAATAAGATTTGTTGCTATTGTTACAACAATTTGGACTAAGCATTTGTAACGGAGAACGTAAGCTTCTATCTGAAATAATACTCTTATTAACAGATAATTTTTTACTCAGTTAGATATTATAAATTTATCTACAGTACCATTCTTCTGTGGAGTTTCCTTTTCTTTTAAAGGAGATAGTATAATTGCTTCTTGTATCTCATATATATTTTGTTCTTGTAGAGTTTCTTGCATAGAAGATAAAGCAGCTTTTTCTTCATATTTATGTAATTTTTCATGTCCATGTTTTTTTAACCTTTCAAATAATTGCGTTCTTTTATCTGACTCTTTATTCTTTTCCCTTATATTTCTGAGAACATTTATAGTGTCTGTATGGCTTTGCTTTGAAGATTCTGAGATTTTAATATTTAACGGTAACTTGGGTTGTTTTATGTGCTGTCTTGTTTTTGACTGCCTTTCTGGTGATAACATGCATGTACTTTTACAAAAAGATGCAGAAATAGAAGGAGGTGGCGCTATCTTTTTTATATTTTTTGAGACATTAGTATATTTTTTGAATTGTTTTTTGTTGTTTTTTTCAATTGTCTTAGATTTTACGGGACATTTGTTATTGTCTGATTCCTTCTCTGATTCTGATGAATCAAAAAAACAATTTTTCTTTTTCTTTCTCATACCCTTACCAAATTCCTTGTCTGTTTCATAATTTGAATCATCTATGATTCCCTTACACGAAATTATGGCATTAATGCGTGCATCTATAAAATTAGAAATACAATGTATGGAAAACCGGAATAAAAAAGAATATAAGACATAAATCTTTAAGAAAAAATACATAAATATGCTATGATTCCTTTATAAAGAAGCAATAATCACATAAGCAAAGTTTTTGTGTTTTCTGTACTTACCATAAAATTTTCTAATAATTATACGTTCTTCTATCCAATCTGGAGATGCAGGTAATTCTTTTTGGACAAATTTCCCTGCATTGCAAGGAGGCCATTTGATTTTTGCTTCCATATTTTCATCTATATCCGTAATCCATTCCGTACGGCCAACGTCGTAAAATTCATCATCTTCTTGTGTCAGCTCGCGGCCTTTATGAGTTAAAAATTTGAACACAACAAACTGAAAAAAATGTTAAGCATACATTAAAATAAAGCCATATACCGTAAAAGAACAAACATAAAAATGTATATAATTATAAAAATAGCGAACCTAAAAGTATAACAATACAGCTGTAATGATGAGAGAAATAATCTTTTTAAAAATATTTTAAGCTACTTCAATAAAGGAATGGTATGCAAAAGAGGAACACAAACAAATGAATTTCCATCTGGCATAAGCCAACATTTTGCTGCAATATTAGTTAATAAAACGATTTGCTTTTCCATACTCAAATGTGATACTCGTACTATACCAAGTTCAACTGAAGACAAAGGATATTCATATGCATTTCCAGTTTGAGAAAAAAAATGGCCTACAAAATATATTTGGTCTTGTCTTTGCACAATATTGTGTAGAATGGCAATTTCGCCATCAACAGTTTTAAAACATGAATCTTTATTGTTACATTGGAATATAATGTTATTCACTGTAATTTTTTTATACTGGATGCCATTAATGATTTCATTAACAGGATGATTTCTTTGCATAGAAAGAAAAACATGATTTTCTTCATTTTCAAGAATTACATTTTGTGGTCCTTTTTCTAAGTCACGATAAGCAGCCTGCTGCAATGGTTTATAACCAGAGTGGAGTAATCTTTTTATACCTTGCAATTTATTTTCAAAAACAAATGCGCTAAAGTTTTCCAGATGGCCATGTTGCTGACACTCTTCCTCTAAATGGCACATAGAATGGACATTATAAACTACAAATCTTGCACCATAAATAACAACAGAATGTTTAATGAAGGTCCTTAACAATTGACCTGCATATTTGCAATGAGATTTTACTAAAACAGGGCTGCTTAAGATATATATTCCACAATGTAAAAGAAGAAAATGCTTGTAAATGTTTTCATCCAAATAATCTCTTAGTACTAATATTCCATCATACAACAAGAATCTTCTGAACTCTGTAGCTTTATAAAAAGATATTTCTGCAAGAGATCTTGGAGGTCTATTAAAATCTTGAGGACATGAAGGTTTCAATGATATTAATTCCGAAGAAATAGCTGCAATAGTATTCCGATGCAATTTCCACGGCCCATTGCACATCTTCCAAGTCAAAAGTAATCTCTTTATAACACCTAGGAAAATCAAGTGCATTCCATCAAGACGAAACTGTGATACTAGGCCAGTTCCAATTTTTTCCAATGGTGAGTGACCAGTATGGTGATATGGTTGCTTTTGATTATTGTATGATTCATCTGTCCTCAAAGGCTCGTTAAGCTCAACAAAGGTCATCCTATTATCAATATATTCGCCAATGACTTCACATTTTTCACATGCGCAATATCCTACGTGATCTTTACAGCATTTAATTTTTGCGCGAGCTGGGGCATCTAAAATATAATGCCTTATAGAAAATGTGTATCGAATGCCATTACGTATGTATCCATTTTCTTGTAAATATTCAATCTCTCTGACAAATGAATGTAAAAAGTCTTGTATATTAGGATCTTTATTTCCTTTATATATCGAGATAATAAAGGGTTCATTTTTAGACCATACAAGTCTTCCTAGTATAGGCCAAAATTTACTCGAGGAACTTTTGGATATAGGCAGACCATCAATATTAATATCAATCACAATTTTATTGAATCGCTCCAGATAATCATTTAAATTCATGGAGTCTAAATTAAAAATAATACCCTTGTACCAGATTTCACCATCATCGATTTGAATCAATTGTATATTGCGTACAGTGTTCAAAAGAGTTTTGTAAGTAAGGCATAGATTTGGGAATACTGGATGAAGTTTTAAAAGCAATGATTGCAATTTACGCATTGATAACATACCTTCTTCGCATGCCCATTCTTTTATTTTTATAGCAACATATTGGCCTATCTCATTTATATGTAGACAATGTATTTGCTCTTCTTCTATATCTGTTTCATCACTTGAAACCAATTCTTGAACACCTATTCCTTCTACGTCACTTTCAGTGCAAGTATGAGTAGACTCTGTGTCATGAACTCTGGAATTCTCATTGTCAGAGAAATTTTCGATACTCAGTTCACTATTACTAGCATCATGTCTTAATAGTTCATTATTTTCAAGATTATCACTTTCATTATGATCATCTTCATCATTGTTACAATTAAAAACATTTATGTTATTATCTCCGGTAACATCATTATTTTTATCATGATTAGCATTGATAATATAGCATTGATTGACAATATGTTCACTTTCATTCTCACTCTCGTTATTGCTCTCACTTTTACCATATCGTTTATAAAGAACGGACGCTATTCTTTCCAATTTTGTCCTTTTGGCAATTTCTCTCTCTACCTTGCGATTTAATGCTCTCTTGAAAGCTCGAAAGTTTCTCTTAAAAAAAAAATTTAAAAAAATAATAATTACAATAATATAAAAGATTTAAAATGATTATAAAATAATAGTAAAATAATAGTTTAAATAGACTGTTTAAATGTAAAAATAAAATTACATTCTAACAATATAAATCTAACAATAGAAAGTGTAGAGTTAATCACTGTAGCAATCATTACATTTTTTTTATAAATATATTATCACAGTACGGTAAAAGTTGCAATAAAATAGACAATACGAGCAACACAAGTAATACAATTATCAATACATTAGCAATACTTTGCAATAAATAAGCAACACATTTTAGATTCTTTTTTACATAAACAATTAAAATATAAATTAATTAATAATATAAAAAGTTCTATGTATTATAATAAATAACGAGTGTTAGGAAAAAAGGCTAAGAGTCATAGCAGGATGTTCGTGCAATGTAAATTTTAAATATTAATAAGAATTAATTTTCTTAATACAATTTCATTTTGAGATATATTTGTACCAGAAAATTATACATACGTTGTTCTCACTTTGGAGAATCAGAATGTACAAATTAAATAAGGAAATAGGAAGGAGATAAAGAAGGAAAAATAAGAAAAATATATCGGGGCGCGAGTGGCTAAGCCGAGATTTTCTTATTTTTCCTTCTTTATTTCCTTCCTATTTCCTTATTTAATTTGTAATATTCTGATTCTCCAAAGTGAGAACAATGTACGAATAATTTTCTGGTACAAATATATTTCAAAATGAGATTGTACTTTAAGAAAATTAATTCTTATTAATGTTTAAAATTTACATTGCACGAACATCCTGCTAGAAAGAAATAGAACGTACAAATTATAAAAAGTTCAATGAGAAGGAAGGAAACAAGAGAAAAAATATCGGGGTGCGAATGACTAATGTCCGTTTCTACCAATGTCAATTAATTTAGTCCAATTAAATAATTATATCTTTGTCTTTTTAAGAACGTATCTCTGAAACCGTATATCACAACCAAAAATATAATAGAATAAACCAGCATTAAGTACTAACTATACAATATAGTAACGGAAGCAATAAAATATATTGTACTGCCAAAAATGGCAATTATTATACTACATTTTTTAAGTAGTGATTAACCTCTCGAGAAAGAGTTAACCTAAATTCAGTTAAATAAAGAGTCCTTTTTATGAAAATAAGATTTGTTATAAAGTTAACCTCTAAATCGACATTTACATTTCAAATAAAGTAAGTTATTATATTAGTAGCAATACTTACAGGTTTCTCATCCATTATCGAAGGAATTTTTGGGAATGAAAGTGGTAATAAATCTTGTTGCCTTATAATAATAATGTTATGATAGATACCAGAAGGATCTTCTTTTTCAAGACTTGCCGCATTTGCTTGTGAATACTGAATAATAAAAGCACACCAAGGCATACATCAAGAGCAATACCAGGTGTGATATCTGAAAAACAGCCATTTGTCGTATTTATTATTATATTTATTATTGTGCCGAAAAAAAATACACTTATATATATATATATATATATATATATATATATATACGCGCGCGCGCGTTTCTCTCAAAACAGCCATTTGTCGTATTTATTATTGTATTTATTATTGTACCGAAAAAAAATACACTTATATATATATATATATATATATATATATATATATATATATACACACGCGCGCGCGTTTCTCTCAAATTTCGCTGCAAAACAATCAATCCGAAATTTTGAAAACGCGTAAATCTACAAAATTTATAAAGATAAAGTGTAAAGATAAAACGACGACACACGTACCGCACGACTCGCGTGAATTGTTAGTGCAGTTTCTCTCTCTCTCTCTCTCTCTCTCTCTCTCTCTCTATCAATTATACCGTATAATATGTATTTTCATGTATTATGTATAATATATATTTTATATGTATTTTCGCGACGTATCCCGCGTATTAATCAACAGGGTGACGAGTGAAAACTTGAGTTTTTCTTTCACCGTCGGACAAAGAAGCAATACGGGCTAACGACTTTTCGGTTGATTTTTATGTTCTCTGCCGTTCCCTCTCGGGAATAGACACGATATACTCACCATTGGTCGATGCAAGATGATTAAATACGTATTTTCTTCGTTTTTTACGCCGAATTCGCGATGGTCACACGTCTCCTCGTCCTTGCGTTTTTGCACAAAACCACTCACTTTTTCTTCTACGAAAAATGGGGAATCTAACCACGACACCGCACGACACGTTCTCGCGCGAATTGTTGGTGCAGTTTTTCTCTCTCTCCCTCTGACTTTTATACCGTATATATATATGTATTTACGCGACGTATTAATCAAGATGACGATCAATGCAAACTTGTTTTTCTTTCGGCCTCGGACAAAGAAGTAAAATACGGGCTAAGACTATTGCACTACAATCACGACTCGCCATCTTGCCATACACTGATCACACTGCCACCGCCACGCAGCACGCAGTGTTGAGTGTTGGGCAGTTGCAAAATATTTTCTAGTGCATGTGCACTAAAGCAGACGATATGAATCCTTGTAAAAATTTGCATAAAAAATTATAGATGAATTATAGAAATTATAATGCTATCGAGTGCATAAAATTAGCAGTATATATTATATTATAATATATGTGCAACACATCAAAAAGTCATCGAAATATGAAAAATATTGATGTACTGCATCCCTATAATAATATTAATATTTATATTAAAAAATGTATTTTACATTAATTTATGTAAACAATATAGCTCATGTGTCGTATATAACAACACATCAAGAAGTCATCGAAATATGAAAAATATCGATGTACTGCATCCACGTTGATAAAATTTGATCGAATCGACATCAAATCCATATCTTTTCGATCATTCATTTCTCACTGGGTAAGAACTTATATGGTCCTACAAGTATTCAAAAATTAGTGATCGATCCTGCGCTTCACTCATTAAAACTGCGGGACATAGTAACAGATGATAAACGTATGGTTCATGGTCAATTAGAAAAAATTAATAATTTAAAATTAAATATATAAATACATTAAAAACATTAAAATCAAATATTGAAAACATTATTCTTTTTTTATCTACCACATTGTTACTACTACATTATAATGGCACTAATATAATGGAATCTTTGTGTAATAAAATAATTGATTGAATTGTCTCATTGTAGAATTATCGATACAAATATACAAAGAAATAGACACGATTATATCTGGCAGAATAGAGATTCGAGGCACTAAAGCTACCGTGATTTCTCGCCGGAAATTAATCCAGGATCCCGTTATTGAAGAACACATATTTGTAACTCATCATGATCGTGCGAAGATTTCTTTAGGCGAAACGATCCAAATATCGGCAGCTTGCGTTGGAAGATCATCAGAACATTAAAATAAAAGCCATTGAATTAGTTGAAGATATCGATAATGTAACATTGGAAGAATTATCATCTCCGCTGTTAATTAAAGCTTTTAATGATATGCCACTAATACAGGCAAATGTTACTTTATTAACATCATCGAGTCGTTTCAGTTCAGCAGAATTGCCACAAAATGTTACAATCGCAGATTTAAATGCATCTTTAGATGATAAAGTGTTAATAGCTGTTGGATTCAATCTTTTGACGAAACAAATCTCGTTAGAAAAACTTTTACCACTCATAAGAGAAGGTGGATATCTGTTGACATACGAAAAGTACAACATAATTAACTATGAAAAATATTTGCAGTAATACGAATTAAATATTATTCTTGAAAAGTGCACTGATACGGAAGTAATTATACTTTTGAAGAAAAAAGTTGAGATAAAAAAGACGACTGTTGTCTATATAGATAATAACAATTTTAATTGGCTCCAAAAATTAAAATTACTTTTGAATGATGAGAATCAACTTGTTAAAAACAGTAGAATCATAATTGTTGGAGAAAAAGACTTTGAGTGCGGTTTGCTAGGCTTCATTAACTGTTTGAGAAAAGAGTTAGGCGGCGAATTTGTTAGAGGTGTACTTATTCAAGATCAGAACGCTCCTAAATTCTCTTTACAAAATCCCTTTTATATGCAACAATTACAAAAAGACATGACTATTAATGTTTTGCGCTCTAATAAAATCTGGGGATCTTACAGGCATTTACAATTACCGCGTGCAGAAGCCCAACTTGTACCTTCCGCTTATGTTTGTCAAATGGTATATACATATTTTTTGCGAAGATTTGCAAAGTTTTTTTAATAGTATATAAGTACTTTCTATATGTATACATGTGCAATAATAGGTAAATCTGCATAAAAGAGAACCATGCTCGTATTACTTTGATATATGTTGTCAAGGTCATCCTCCTGAGTAACAGTCAAAAGGTTTTAGTCGTCGGTCGTTGTTTATTAAAAAAGTTATTAACGAAGAAAGTCAAGATACGAGCGGGATCTCCTTTTACGCAAGTTTATCTAATAATAATTACATATATTTTTGTTTTCTGTAATGTAGAAATTTGCTATTTAAAATTTTACTTTACATATAGTATGTCACAAATACTAAAATATTTTCTTATATTTTATAGGTTCATGGTGATCTAAGTACATTTTGTTGGATGGAACACGAAATATCTGATTCTCGGCTCGAAGATTTGATACGTATAGTTTATTCGTCTATCAATTTCAGAGATGTAATGTTAGCTATTGCGAAATTAAATTCATTGCCGACCGCAATGTCGCAAGAACGATTTCAAAGTATATCTCTTGGATTGGAATATGTAGGATTCGATACCAACGGACGTCGCGTAATGGGACTTCGTGATAACAAGTAAATATTATTATTATTCAAGCAATTATTATATAAAATATCATTGATCAATTGATCAATTATATCATCAATTAATTAATATTGCTCTTTCTAGATGTATAGCAAACATCATTGTGAAAGACAAAGATTTATGTTGGAACATACCTGATACATGGACATTTGAAGATGCTGCTACAATCCCATGCGTTTATAGCACGTGTTACTTGGCTTTATATATTTATGGGAAAATGAAGAAAGGCGATAAAATACTTATACATTCCGGTACTGGAGGCATTGGACAAGCAGCTATTCACCTAGCTCTTAACGAGGGATGCGAGGTGTTTACTACCTAGGTACAATTGAAAAGCGAGAATTTATTAAAAGAATGTTTCCGACTATTACGGATAAGTATATTGGAAATTCTCGAGACACCAGTTTCGAACAAATGATAATGTTGCAAACAAATGGTTACGGCGTGGATATCGTGTTAAATTCGTTGTCAGAAGAAAAACTAATTGCGTCCGTTCGTTGTCTAGCACGAAATGGTCGTTTCCTGGAGATCGGCAAATTCGATCTTGTTTCTAACAATCCTCTAGATATGATCATGTTTCAAAAAGGTATTAGTTTTCATGGAATTCTATTAGAAAATATATTTCTGGGTTATCACAAGCATAAGTCTCTATTATCCAAAATGATGGCTAACGGTTTGAAAAATTTGATCATTAAACTACTTCAGGTGAAAGTTTTTCCAAAATCAGAAATTGAAGCGGTTTTTAGATACATGTCAAGTGGGAAACATATAGGAAAGGTATGTTAATAATATAACTATTTTATAATATTTATCAACGGTATTACAACAATTTGAAATATTATAATACTACTCTCGACGTCTCTCTAATATATAAATATATATTTTTAGATAATTTTAAAGATTCAGGAGGAAGATCAATCTTTGAACGAATTTGTTATTGCACATCGTTGTTATTATTGTCTCAATAATAGAAGCTATATTATATTAGGAGGTCTAGGTGGATTCGGTTTGGAGTTAACTGATTGGCTAATACTACGAGGCGCTAAAAACGTCGTTGCTGATTTCGCGAACTGGGATAAAAAATGGTTATCAGCGCATGAAATTTCAATTGTGGAGATCTTACGGTTGTAAATGTGATTATTATAAAAAATATCGATACTGCCAATCGTGATGATGTGAAAATCTTTTGCGAACTGCGGAAAAGATAGCACCGGGGATGCGATATTCAACCTGGCCGTAGTGCTGAAGGACAACATTTTGGAAAATCAAACCATCAATACCTTTGCGGAATCCTTCAAATCGAAGGCCTGGGCGACGCAAATGTTGGACAAGCTGTCTAGAAAAATCTGTCCTAAACTACGGCAGTTTGTAGTATTCTCTTCCGTTTCTTGCGGTAGAGGAAACACTGGACAAACTAATTATGGCATGGCTAATTCCGTCATGGAGAGAGTGTGTGAGAAAAGGGGCGAAGGATGGATTACCTAGACTGGCGATTCAGTGGGGAGCTATAGGTGACGTAGGTCTTGTCGCTGATATGCAAGAAGAGAATAACGTGGAACTCGTATCGGTGGTACTTTTGCAACAAAAGATATCTAGCTGCCTTAACGAACTCGATACATTTGTACTTCAAAATCGGCCAGTTGTAAGTAGCATGATTGTAGCCGAAAAGAAAGCAGAATCTTCCAGATTTGACAATATGATGAAAACTGTTGCTAATATTTTAAGTAAGTATTCGCATGCAGAATATTTCATGTGTGTTAAACTATTTTTCCTAACTATCTCTAAACTTTCTCATAAGATATAGTAAATCTAATATATTTTATATTTATAGATGTAAAGGACATGAAAAAGATAAGCCAAAATACATCTTTATCTGAGCTTGGAATGGATTCTATGATGGTTGTGGAAATTAAGCAAATCCTGGAACGAGAATTTGATATCTTTTTTACTGTGCAAGAAATACGGAATCTTACTTTCGCAAAACTTAATGAGATTTCCAATGCAAACACTGGTGATAATAATACGCAAATTGAAAATTCAATCGATAGGAAATCAAATATTGCGAAATTATTCGGTATTGTACAAGACAAAGATTTTATGACGAAAGTTTGTTTAGATATCTTTAAAAAAGAAGAAAATACGATCCAAGTATTTCTTATACCGGGAATCGATGGCTGTGTAACTGTATTTAATCACTTGGCATCAAGCGTTAAATTTTCGATGACATCGTTGCAATGTAACACAAACAATATTAACGCTATGAACACACTATCGGAGACGATTGACTATCTTCTTGAGGTATCCTAATTGTAATTTTTGTGTTTCTTTGATTGAAAAATTGTTTTTTATTAAAATTTAAAATTGTAAGATAGACATAAAATTTGCTGAATTATTTTAATAATATTTTTATAGCACATAATCTCAAGATTAAAAGATAGAAGAAATTTTGTAATGGTAGGATATTCTTTCGGATCTATTATCGCAATTGAATTAACAAGAAAATTGGAAACTATGAATTTTAAAGGACAACTTGTACTTATCGATGGCGCTCCGGATCAAGTGCAAATAATGTATACGAACATTATATATCAAATTCCAGCGACATAGAACTTCAAAATAACGTTTTAATTACTATGATGGAAATTTATAAAGCAGGATCCAGTGAAAAGGTAAAATCTCCTTTTTTATATACATAAAAATAATTTCTAATTACAAATATTATTCTATATCAGTCTTATATTTTAAACATCTTATGATTCTTACATTTTTTTCATTTAATCAATAATCATTTGAAAACAATCAAAATTAAAAATCTAACTTTTTGCAGCTCGGA